TAGGAAGAACTATTCTCCCTTCCTGTTGGTTTGACAGACCCACTAAAGGTGGTCTGTGCTGCATAGAACAGGACAAGTTGAGAATTCACTCTCTGTCCTGGCTGTCTGTGCTCTAAGTTGCCTATTTAGCTTGAGCTATGCTCAGTAATGGCTCACCCCAAACCAGATGATGGTAAGTGAAAGAATCACTTGACACTGGAAAAAGGTTGCCTCCTCCCAAGGCAGAGCTATGCACTTATAATTTCCATCTTGTTATTCTATCAGGCTGACTCAAAGTCTGGGAACCATTGATGTTCAAGCTGTAGGCTTACAAAAAAGACTAGATTATACGCAAGGCCTGGATGGTTGAGTGCATAAGCACTAGCACACTATAAAATGGTAGAAATGGTTTAGTGTGAGGTGTCCCTACCCTTGGCAGGGGGGGTGGAACTAGATGATCTTAAGGTCCTTTCCAACCCTAACTATTCTATGATTCTATAAATGTTTACAGAGTGTCTCATGGGTTCTAACGAAAACACAAAAGTGATGTACTGAAGGTTGAGGTTGCTTAGAAAACATACACATCTTGGTCTGTTAACATGGTGATACAAGTATATAGATGACTTCTGCAGTGGATATATTTTCTTGGCTATATGTGATATGGGAGGTTATTTCTATCATGTAACTTTTTCCCTTTCTCCAGCTTCCTTTAGGTGGCTTGAGGCAAGAACAGTGACTCAAGAGTAGCAGGCAGTTACTTCATATTCTTTTCCATAGTAATTTGTGCTTTTTCAGTGTCAGGGAGTTTACTTTTCTCCTGACAACTCAAGTTGCTCATGACCTCGGTGCCTGTTGTTCAAGTGAAAAATCACTTTAACAGTTGTCTTCCACGTGAACTGAATCTCCTTGTCTGTCAACCCGAGTATACGCTATAGTCGTTCCAGGTGTGGATGCTTGCTAGATATTCTGTAAGACTATGGGGGGGAAGTCCTAGGGGTGAATTAGGAAGTCCTTGCCCTCACTAGCAGTTGATCTGAATGTGTGAGTAATTGTTCCTGTTCTGAGTTATTGTCATGCTAATGCAACAAAAAACATTGCCTCTGACAGTAGTAGTGCAAGTGGGCGTCTGGTTCACAGCCACGGTATCTTCATGTGAAAATGGCTTAGGAAACATTGTTTGGACCTGCCTGTTTCACTCTTACTAGTGATAAGATAAAAATGCAATTTTTAAGTTAAAACTAGTTGAGACAGAAAAATCGGTTTAAGTTTTATGAGTGTGCCCTGGGAAAAGAAGGATTACTGGAGAGGAGTTTTTTGTCTTTAAAATGATGTCCCGTTGGGTATATATACTCTCAAGGTATTCTGTTGGGTGATGCTGTCTGCATTCAGTGGCTGTCTTGGAAAAAGAAAGTGGATATTCATGATGGTCTGTAAAACATGGTAGAGAAGCATGCCAATGCACTTTTCATCAAGGCTCTGAGAATATTCTGCAACCAAGGATATTCTCTTTGATGGTTCTGCAGTGTGAGTTCCTGATCTGAAGGCATTGCCATCTAGAGGGATTAGAGAAGCAGTTACTTGACCTCTTTGATCCCTCTGTGACATGCTCTGCATGAAGAACTATTACAGTTACATGCCTTTTTTGAAAGCATGGAATTTAATAGTTTTTGAAGAAAAGAATAAATTATATCTAATGAGCATACTTCATACCTTAGGCTCCAAAGTAACACTATCCTGTACATCTCATAATATTACAGGAGACCCCAGGTCTCTGAAATAGCTTGGTTTTCTGTTCTATGTTAAAATGCTTTTTTAAGGAATACAAACTGTTTGTTCAAAACTTTCAAGTATGTAAAATAGTTATTTAAGGAATAAGTTATTCCTTGTTTACCAGGAGCAAACAGGCCAGTGGAACAAATGTTCAGTGTGATGAACGGTGTATGGAGTGAGAGGGAAAATTAAATGAGGGGAGACAAGTATTAGGGTTATTCTTCTGCCCAAAGGGAATGGCAGTGAAACTTTTGCCATAAGCTACTTTGAAACACTGAGACCTACTGAGAATCCTCCAATTTAAGAAATAGATTTGGTAGTTTCAGAATAAGAAGCTGGCAGCTGGGAAGTGAGCATGGTGTTCTTAATAAAGTGCAATTTTTGTCTTTTATTTGACTATTTCATGACCTTTAAAAAAATAATCAGAAATATCCCTGGCTTTTGATTTTTGAAATATGGTGAGTGTAATTACAGGGCTCTTGCCTATTGTGTTTTTTTGTTTTTTTTTCTTGTATGTGTGATGAAAGAACTGTACTAACTTGAACAACAGGGGAGTAATTATACTTCCCTCTATTTGCAAAGCCCTTAATACTGTACTGGGTGCTGCTACAGTGTGGACTTAGTGACAATTTGGCCTTAGTAACCCAGTGAGGAAATGATTGTGTAGTTCACAGAGCTGTTTTATTGAGGTTATCTTAAACAGACCCCTCAGTTCAAAGGTTAGTTTGGTATTTTTGTCTATTTGCTGCATTTATTCTGTCACTGTTTAATAGTCTTCAGTAGCTTAATGGCTAACTTTGTACAAAAACTGCTATAAGACTCTCTTTAGGAAAAATGTATTTCTCTTTAGGAAAAATGTATTTCACAAATTATAATTGCTTACTGCCTCTGTTCTTCACACACACACACCCACACCCACACACGCACACACACGAGACTAAAAGAAACCTCCTGAACCTGAAGCATTCCAAGTTCTGCCAGATTTCACATAATGGTTTGGATAAAGTGCTGTGGCTTACATCCACTTCTAATTTTCTCCATTGTTGGCTTCTGGGTTGCTGCTTTAAATCTGAAAAGCAATTCTGTAATTACTTGGTGGAGAAGCATTCATCAGAACAATATGAATAAACTTATTATCACACTGGTAATTTTTTTATGCCAGGTCTCTTCCTATTTTGTGTAACTTCAGAATTAGTCACCTTTCCAGTTGTTCTATAAGTACCTTTTGCAGTTTTGGGTTGGTTTCTCAATCTGTAAAGCCAACCATGCTGATTACATACTGCTCGCTGCTTCATTACAGTGTGAAGTGTCATCCTAAACAAATAACAAGCCTTAGCTGTGGTTTCTGGGATCTTGCAGAAGCAGAGCAACCCATTTTGACAAAAAAAAACCAAAACAAACCAACAACAAAAAACCAACAGCTTTTATTCAAAGATTTCTTTAAAGGGCAAAATCTTCATTCTTGTAAATTAAGCAGAATTGGGGATTGATTTTTTTTTTTTTATTCCTGAGAAATCAGTTGTTCTAACTTTTAAAGAAAAGTACTGCTTATCCATGTTACTGGTAATACCCAGTAACAGGAAAACTCTGAACATGATTTGACTGGGAAATGGTAAGTATTTTCTCTTCCAAATTTTGTTTGTTTCCTTGCAGTTAAGCATAAACTCAAATGCAGTGAGGAAGAGGGGAAAATGACAACAGAGTGTGTCTTGCTTGTTTCTGTCAACCTCCTTTACTTCAGTGGCTCTCTGAGGTTGAAATTGAATTACCAGCACACTTTTGCTTTCTGTGAATTAGATTACCTGCTGTGGAAATGCATAAAATTAATGATCTGTGGAAGAGGTGTTTAGGCTTTTCTCACTTTATAAAACTGCAAATGCAGGTATGTGTGTATAAAATAGTCTACATGCCTCTGTTTTCCATCTCTGCCCTTCTTTCCCCCTTCTAATGGTCTCATACTTTTGTAATTGGAACTAATATAAGGGAAGGCTGAAGGCAGTTATTGCTACCTCTAGGAGGGGCTGGCCTATGCACCTTTCCTCCAAATTTTGACTGCCGTGTGCATCTGATAGCCATGGAGATGGTGGGAAGCTTGGCTTTTCTGTCATGGACTCCTCCCTCCAACTGATTTTTGCTGTGTAACTTTGCATTTTAGGTTACTGCCCACTTTGCTGTCTAGTGTTACCTTTGTCCATAACATATGCAAAAAGCAGTTGTAACAAACTGTAAGTTTTAAAAGTCACTGTATTCAAACAAGGGGGAAAAAAGGCAATTCTAGGCTAATCTCATCTTAGTTTACATGCTGCCACTATTTTATTTTCTAATTTTGCAATGTAACAAAGATCTTCCTTTGCAGTTTCTTCCAGCTTAGCTTGCCCCCAGGCAAAAGTTTTGCCTCACTTAACATTATGCCACTGTTCAAGTGCTGTGTAAAGATGCTCCAAGTTAGGGATTGAAATTCAGATCCCTCTGAGTGTGAAGGAAATTAGGCTCAGTCTGAATCCAAGCTGGGGCAGTAGATAATACAATGAACAGGCGAACAAAGCCGAACAGAGTGTAAACTAAACACTTTTCCCTGTGGTCCATGTCTAAATATTGAGATTTATAGTTCCTATGGAATCCTCCTCTGGTTTAAACTTTTAATTATGAAAGACTTGTGGTCAGAAGACATGGAGTGCTCTCACATATGAATGAGAGAAAAGCTCTTTTTCCACGATTTTGCTATTAGAAGACATTGCCACAGCATTGCAATTAGTGAATGCCTTGATGCAGGCATTGTGAGAAAAAAGATTTGCGATTGACCATCCCTTTCTAACAGCTCTGCAGTGAATGCTGGTGCCAGGTTCTGCGCAGGTAAGTTACAGAAGAAGAGGTTTTCTTTTGAACAAAAAGAATAAGGAGAAATACACAATGGGGCAGCAATCTCCAGACTTCTGTTATCTCAGGAAATGACCTGTGTAGGATGTATGACCTGAAACTAAAAAGGTGATTGCGTGATGAGTGCAACAAGGGGAAAGTGCCAGGTTATGAGCACCGATGGTTTGGGGAGGGAGAGGGGAGGAAGAGCGGGGGGCTTCTTCTAAGTGCAAGGATATTGCTTGATGCATGCTTGCTATGTAAAATGTTACTGCTGTTAGTATAAACTGTATTCTTTCTGTCTTCTCTCTCTTCTGGACTTGGCCGGGCCATGTACAAATCCCAATCATTCAACAGTACTGGAGAGTAGATAGTATTTACCTCAATAATGGTAGTTTCTTTTCGATTCTTTTTAACCCTCAATTCAGATGACGGTTCGAAGCCAACACCTACCATGGAAACCCAGCCGATTTTTGATGGAGAAGGTAAGAACATCCCTCAAAATACTAATAACAAAAAAGCTACTTCCCTCTCCCTTTTCCTGAGGATTTATGGCTCAAATGCTTTCTTTATCCTGCAAAGCAGAAAAGCCAGTGAATCTCGTAAGTTATCCAAATTTCACAGTGCCCTTGGGACCTGAGGCATTTTCCCTAATCCTTTTACATCCTCCCCTCTTCCCTGGAATCCAACAATAACACCAGTTGATGAGATTCCTGAGGTAACCTTGGAGGAAAAGGTGTCACAGCAAAAAAAAAATGTTCATCAAGTCAGACATGGCAACTTTCCTAGACTGTCCATATTCCCTTGTTCTCTCCACCCTCATGATACCAGTGCTGGGAGTTTCATAACCTCTGCAGTGCATTACAGCTTCACAAAAGGGAGGGCAGTGCTAAACCACAGCTTGTGAATACTGAGTTGGAAGAAAATTGCTGGGAGGTTTCTTTATTTAACAATTACTTTTATTGACGCGCATACTATTTAAGCAAATGAAGTCAGTATCTTGGGCCCACTTAATTCACGGCCCACCAAGGCAGTTTCCTTCTCAAATGAGCTGATCTTGTGATTGTATAACTTTGGAAAAGGAATATTGGATGTTAGTCCATTGAAAGCCTTGAAACAAGGATAAAAAGGTTGTCATCACAGAGGGCTCGAGGCTTTTGTACATACAAAAATAAATACCAGTGGGGGTAGTGGTCCTTGGGTAGTGAATGGGCTGCTTATGCCTTGCATATTACTTAGAAGTAGTGCAAGTTTTCTAAATCTTTAAATCCACAGCCATTATGGTCAAGCTATGGGCTGCAGCTTGAACCACTTTGTGACCCACCTGAATCTGTGGACCAGAAGGCAATGAAGGAAAACCTATGACTTTTCATACCTGACTGTTGTATTTGAAACTTTTTTTAAACTGGATCAAAGTCAGAAATGGGGACTACTGAGCAAGAGTAGGTGGTGCTGCTGCCTACTCTTGCTTTCTTGTAAAAACAGGTGATGGGGTGGGGGGGGGTTATTGCTAAAATAAGCTTATTTAATGGGAAGATGCTGTAGTCCTGTCACTTCCATTTAGTGACTGTAGGTTTGTAAGAATCTTCTTGTGAGCTTTGAGAAACAAAGCAAAGCCCTCAGAGCAAAAAGCATTTTAAAATAAACAAAGGAGACTGAAGCCATGCTATCTCTTGTTTATATCAAAAGACAGTTCCTCCTGGCAGCAAGCTGATGTTGTATTAAATTGCTGTTTGTAATCACAAACTTCTGGTCTTTAAGTTTTCCCCTGAGAGGGTGCCCATAGATATTCAAAGGAAAGAATGCACCAGTAAAACACAGGAGTGAGCTGATCTGGTTAATACAGCCTGTTTGCAAGCTCCCTCTTAGGAGAGACTTTACATTTTGGTCATTCACATAGAACTGGGCAAAGTTCTTGAGAAACGGTGCCGTGAACAGATCTTTTCTGGCCCTTCTGGTGACAGGCAGAGTCAGAAAAGAAGTCATCTTCTGTGAAAAACGTTTTCAATGAAAAAGCTTTGCATTGATTTGTAAATGGAATCAAGTCTGATAAATGGACTTGAACTGTATGATGAAAGATTGCCTCTCACAAATCTTGCAATATATTATGCAAGACCTTATCTCCTAGACTTCTAGAGAGAATGACTAATGCAATGGCTTCCTGTTGTTTTAGCAGTGTCCCTCATGACTTGGGAGAAGAGAATATGACAGGCAGATTAAGCTATGCACCAGTGAATAACCTCTGCTAAGTTTGTCACTCTGTATTTTTGTCATCCCTGTTAGTTAAATAGGACTCACTAGTTTTCAGTGTTGGTTGTAGCAATAAGCACAACAAAATCCATTCTGGGTCTGAACAAAAGTTTGTGTAATCTACTACCTTTAAGCATACTGTCCTCAATAGTGACTTAAAGTGGGTACATCAGGAACAGCATAAGTGTATAGCCTGGGGAAGACTTAAAAGTGGCCTAATACCAGCCTTCCAATATCTACAGAGAAGTTTATTAAGAAGAGGGAGTGGGGATTTTCACAGGAATGTGCGATGTGAGACAACAGTCATAAATTGAAACAAAATGGTTGGACAGGATATAAGGAAAAACTTAGTCACCATGAGAACAAGAAGGCAGTGGAACAGATTGTTCGAAGAGGTGAAACTCTGTCTTCCTTTCCGTGCCAGTTAAAGGCATGAGCAACCTGGTCTGTTCTTATAGCTGACCCTGTCTGGAGCAGAAGGTTGGACTGGATGCTTCAGGGTGTCATCCTGAAAGATTCGCTTCATTCTATCTGAGTAAACATGTCACGGCACTTGAGTAGCATACTCTCCCAGTGTCTTGGGTAGGTCTTCCTGAGGAATGGCTTGTACTTGGTGTCTGACGCATCAGATGGCATAAAAGGACGAAACAGTTGTCCATCCACATGTCAGGTATTTAGATGTTCAAAGGAGTTAAAGACAAAATCCCATTTAATTTCAGTGGGCTGGAGACGTGCTGGGCTTCTGAAAACCTGTGCATTCAAAGTCAGGCAACCAGGATGGAGCTGGTAGAAACTTGAATGGACAATAAAAATGTGGAATTTCTTTTTGTGCTTCATTTTTGGGTGTCTACTTTCAATCCACAAGGGGCTAAATTTTTTCAAAGAGCATTACATACGTTCAGCTGCCCCTGAAATATGTGATACCTCTTGGATGTCAGCATCTCCAAGGTGAAGGTTCACCTTTCTCATGTTTTCACCTACATTAGAGGGTAATGAAAACTCACATTTCAGATATAATTTCCCCTCCCACTCCCTACCATCCTCCCTGAAGGCATAACAGAGCAGTGCCAGAGATAATGTATATCAGATAATTTAAACTCTCCTGTCCAAGGCTTGAATCATAAAGCAGCCATCTCTTTAAAAATTATTTCACTTCATTACAATGCAGATCTTGGTGATGTTTGTAGTGAATCTCCTCTTAAGACAAGATTTTTCTTTGCAGTATTTTATTAATGGTCCTTGCTATAGTTTTGAATTAAAAAAGTTCCGTTCCCTTCTGCACTTCTAGGCTTTGTTTTCTTTTCATACACCCTCCATTTAGTTTCAATCTGTAAGTTGTTTTTTTGTTTCCTAAAGAATAACTTCAAATATCTTCTTTTTTTCTAAACTTTACCTTTTAACTCAGTGGGAATCTACTTTTTCCACAGATCTGTTGCTCAGAGGAGTCTATGTTGCTTACCTGTATTCCAAAAATTCTTTGGCCTCTTTGACTTTGGTTGTCCCTCCTTTTTCCACTGTAGACATAACCAGTCCGTATAGTGCAGAGTCAGAGCTAAGTTTCACCCCAGACTTAGGAAGTTTGATCTTGCATTTTTGGTTTATGTACTTTTTCTACTTCTGTGCTTCTCCCCTTTCTACCTCTCACCCAGTGTTTAATTTGACATAGTTCTTCCCTCAAAAGGCCCAAAGTATATAGGTATATATATTTATAGGAGTGCATCATGACTAAGTGATGATAAAATAGTGTAGTGGAACCTTCAGATAAGGCAGTCTTTGTTAAGCAAGCTTTTACTACTGCTGGAATATCAATGTCAAACCTATACTTCCATATGAAAAAATGCCCTGAACATGATTTCAATAATGCCTATAATGAATGTAGCTGAAAACATTTAGGAAGGAAAAATTCCCTTTCACTTTCCTTCATGCTTTTGTAATGTATAATCAGTTTCTCTTGTAGTCAGCTAGCTTTTCCCTGGCAGATCAGATCCATGTAAATGTCACAAAGGAGCAGGAAAAGCCTTATAAAAACTTCTTAGAGGGACTTAAGGCAAACTGCAGGATCTAGTATTTAAGGCATGCTCTTGTGGAAACTGAAAAAGTTTCAGAAGATACCAGTTCTGAAAATGTTTTTCTTTAGGAAAACCTTTCCTTTAGGAGCTCTAGCCCATGGTATTGAGTACTGCTTTGTTCAGTTCTAATCAAATGCTGATTTGGTGTCATTTCTGCAGCTTAGGGCAGGTTCTGTGTTTTGAAGTAGATAGTAACACTTCAGAGGAGGTGCTCTAAGCACTTTTTTTCCGCAAATATATGTTTGGATATCGTGGTTGTAGTGCATCAGATACACTTTTCTAACCAGAACTTGTTTTTTTAACAGACTTCCTTTCATGTCTTTCCAGAAATATCTTAATTTCTCTGCCTATTACTTCAGATTTTATTCTTGCTTGTTTTAGGGAACTGACTGTGGTCAGCTCTTCTTGCGCCGTTAAGGTTATATTTAAAGTCTCAATTGACTTTTTAAATCAGTATATACTGAAAACCAATATATACTATAGCACACAATATAACCTTTGAGATCTGTAAGACTTAAGGGGAAAGGCCTTAGACTTGAGAACTTAAGAGGTGGGGGGTGGAGGGGAGGTACTGTCTGGAATGGGAAGATAATGAGATAACCTTGTAGAAGATTAACAAATGTTGCTTCGTAAGAGGTGGAAGACCTCACTAAGGAATAAGCCAATCTCTATGAAGATGATGGATCAGTTAAGGCATGATTGTAGCAAACATCTTGTCTTCTTTGAAGAGAGGCTGAGTTTGTGTTGTTCAGCCTTGAAAAGAGAAGGCTTCAGGGAGACCATAGAGCAGCCTTATGGTACCTAAAGGGGGCCTATAGGAAAGGTAAGGAGGGAGTTTTTACAAGGGCAGGTAGTGACAGGACAAGGGGTAATGGCTTTAAACTGAAAGAGTGTAGATTTAGGTTAGATATAAGGAAGAAATTCTTTACTGCAAAGGTGGTGAGGCACTGGCACAGATTGCTCAGAGAAGCTGTGGCTGCCCCATCCCTGGCAGTGTTTGAGGCCAGGTTGGATGGGGCTTTGAGCAACCTGGTCTAGTGGAAAGCGTCTCTGCTCATGGCAGGGGGTTGGAACTAGATGAGCTTTAAGGTCCCTTCTAACCCAAACCGTTCTATGAGTAACAACCATGTATATTTACTAGTTGCTGTAGGTTTTTTAAGGCTGTTATTTTTTCTCTTTCAGAAATCACAGCACCCACCCTTTGGATTAAGCACTTGGTCATCAAAGATTCCAAATTGAACAGCTCCAATATAAGGAATTCAGGTAATGGTCTAATGAAGAAAAAAAAAATAAAATTCTTTCAACTAGGCTGCAGTCCCTCACAGTCTTGTCTTGTTTCACTCTTCTTTCATTGTACCTGTCCTGCTGCTTTTCAGTGTTGCAGGGTTTGAAGTGCAGGCTGTAAGAGAATTTCAGAGAGTGTCCTTTTTTTGTGTCCAGAAGGCCACAATCAGTGTGTAATGAGAGATGTTTGTGTTTCCCCAAACCCTATCGGGGGAACCTCTGATTTCTTCATCTGTTGATTCATCCCAGCCAGCTGTCATCTTTATTCTGTTTGTTCAGCAGTCTTTCATGGATGTACGAACTGATGCATTTAGCTCTGAGTTTTGAGCTGTGGTTTTGGTCTGAGCAGTTGAGAAATTACAGAGAGGGGCTTCTTTTCTAGCAATTTCAAGATTCTTCTGTGCGGGTTATATTTTTTGCTGGAGAAAAGATTGGATTATTTCACAACTGCAAGTAGGTTATTTATGTTTGGATCTAAGTAAATGCTGAAATTATTTTTGTGGGTAATAGGGTGGGTAAGGGAAGACCCGAGCATAAAAAAACATCAAATAAAAATTCATGACCATGTGTGGGAACAGGGGCAGCAGGAGGATGTGAAGGTGAGATGTAAACCTTGAGGTTGGAGATGAGGGTGAAACTGCGTGGAGTCACTGAAATCACTAGAAACTGGAATAATCTGAAGAGGGAAGTTAGGGATTCTTGATGAGGATGGTTTCTATCTGATATATTTTAACTAAAGTGGGGGAAAGAAAAAAGGTAGATGGAATATCAAAAGAAGAAAATTGCTTTAAGCCATGGGTTTACTTTTAAGGTTTAAATAGGAGCTGCTACTATTGCATATATTTCATGAAATAATATATGCCTAGAGCAGCTGTTGGGAATAACTCCAGTCCCCAGACAGATAAATTGGGATAGCTTGAAGTACTTCAGCACCTGATATGTCTGGATTAGCCAGAGAGCATTCATAGTGCTCAGCAGTACCCTTAACCTTCCCAACTGCAGGGTGAAATCAGTGCTAGGTTAGGTGAGAATATTTTGCTGCAGAGTGTAGAATTGCTCTTCACAGAAGCACATCCATCATTGGCCAGACCCCAGTTTTAGCAACAGTCTTCTGTTGCCTCACTTCCTGACATTTTTTGTAGCAGGGTGGTTCATGTAGAAACTGTAGGTCTATCAGCGTTCTTCTTTAAGGATGTATTTCACAGTAGAGCAAATGCAGCTTATGTTTTGTAAGCTGCTGGGACAATAGTGCAATTGAAGGTGATGGTTTAATATTAAAATCTTATGTAATGGGTCCTACCTATCTTGGAGACCATTCTTTCTGATGCAGCAAACCTGGTAGCTGCGATGGAAGGAAGAGTTCCTAGATTTGGGTTCTAGGAAGCTGGAAAGGGACTTGGGAGCAGGAGGGTCTTTTACTTGCGAGCCTGCCTCCCACCCTTTCTTGGCTTGACAGTACCAAAGCAGGCTGGCTTTCACATTGTAAAGTCAGTTGGTTAGTTCAGGTGTTTAGTCATGAAGCTGCCTGATGTAAGCCAGGTATTTTGTTTATTGAACAGTTCCTTTTCTGAGTTTACTTTTGTCCACTTTTTTTTTTTTTTCCAATTGGTTCTGATATTCCATCAAGGTTGTTATGGGTGCATGCTACAAATCAAAAAGAAATGATCTTCTGGAAGATTCAGGAGTTCCATATGAGGTGGTTTCTACAGTAATCTCAAAGGAGATGTGTGGCCGACCTTACTGACTGCCGTGACAGACACTCATTTGCTGCATGATCTCATTAAGAGACTGGGTTGCAAATTGTATCCCCCAGTTTCCACATTAGGCCTTACAAATAAACAGCCATTTCTTTTTTTTACACCAAATTACTGATATCAAGAAATGCTGTCTAGGGCTATGGTTCACCTGATATTAGGTGTGGACTGCTTTAGTCTGTTTCTTTTCAACCAGTGAAGCCTAGTAGTGCACCCTTCTTTGGTGTCTCTCATTCCTTTTATCCCTTGTCATATACATAGGGCGGGTGAGACTGAACAATAAAGAGTTGGGAGGATGAGTATAATTTAGAATTGGGTTCTTCAAATGTCTTCAAGTCTGTCTTGGCTGAAGATGATGAAAGAGCTGTCATGAAATAGGCATGCAAAATTGGGGGATGTTTTTAATTGCTTTTGGCTGTTGTCAGCTTGAAATATTAATGCTCAGCACATTTCTGATTTTTCGTTTATTTTTCAAGGGTTAAAGTAAGTTTTACAAGCACAAGATTGGATATTTGAGTTTGGTATTCCCTCAGCTACATTGTCACTCTGAGCTTGCACTTACTGTCTTGAGGTAGATACAGCCTGGTATCTTCTTGCAACAATTTAGTTGGGATGACTGTAATTAGAGAAGAGAAAAGATCTAGTGGATCATCTAATCTACTGCCTTAGGGCTAGTGAATGTGCTGTATGAAGAGCAGCATTTTCTAGTGTAGCATAAATGCCTTAGGCAATAAAGATTTCACATCTTCCCACAGAAAGCTGCTCTGCTGTTTGAACTTAATCCCAGGATTTTTCTTTTTGCAGTATCCAGCCTAACTCTTCTTTTATTTGTGTTCTTTTTCATTAGTCTTGAGCTCTTGAAAGCCTGCCCTATTCCTTGGAGTTTGTATACTGTAACACTTAACCCTGATCTCTCTCCTCCCTGCAGTGGTTAAATAGCCCTGTCCTTTGCAGTGAAGAGAAGTTCAGCAGATACTGCTGTCAGAGGGCATGTCCTGCTCTCTAATTAGCACAGACACTGGATGTCTTGGAAAGCTAGCATCATCACTATATCAATCACGAAGAGAATTTAAGAATTGCTATATGAATATAAATAGGCTCTGTAATTTGCTGTCATTGTCTCTAGTCGATGTTAGTCAGGTAGCTGACCATTTCAGAGCTGGTGATACTCCATGGTACATATGCAGCCTGGAGCCCAAGGAGCTGCATTTGAAATCTGAGTGTTCCACATTCCGTGTAGTATTAACAAACAGAACAGGTTCTCCTAAACAGTCCTCACTTTTGGAGTGGGTATGTTTTGCTTGGCATGTGTAAATGCTAATTAAGCCTGGGGATCAGGAAAAGCAGAATGACTGTAGCCTGGTGATTAGAGCATTTGACTGAGGATCTATATTTCTCCAGGCATTCTGCCAGTGAATTTTTCTATGCTAAGTAAAGCAGCATTGCTGGGAGGGATTGCTCGTGGTGTTCACCAGCCCACCTTAAAAAATGAAGGGACAACTAGATCCCTTTCTCATTAGGGTGAGATGCAGGTTCAAATCTTCTCAGTCAGAGGCAGGAACCAAAATACAAACATGCTCTAACATCTGGACTGTTGAGCAGCTGAGAAGTGATTGTTTTTCTACACTTACAAACTAAGTCATCTGCCTTTAGCCCCAAAGTCAGTTTTTCTTTCTGGGGCAAGTGAAAGGTCTAGATCAACACAATATTTTTTGACAGGAGCTTTTTTGTTGTTTGTTTTGAATTGATTTTCACCTTCCCCAAACATGCATACCCATGTGTGCACATACGTGGATACCCCAAAGTAAGGCTGTTATTTAGCACTGCCCTCTGTAATGTGTGAATTATTTTTAACACTGCCAGAGCAGGAGGTGATAGAGATGGGACCTTCACAGTGGCCATTCTCTAATCAACATTGCTGGGAACTGTCGTCTTATTCTGCTTTTACTCTTTCAGCTTCCTACTTTCCTACCTCCTCTCCCCAGCCTATTCCAGCCTGCAACAGCCTGAATGATTACTTTTTTACGGCTCTTAATCTAGGGAAATACCTGATAAAGTATCCCCCTTCCAATAAAATAAATCTAATGATTGCCTGTTTGGGAGCATCCCCTCTCCCCTGAGGAATCTGTGGTTGTTCCTCATTTCCAGAGTTGGGTTATCTCCAAATCCATTTGTGCTACTTAGTGATTTGTTTTAGTTAGCAAGAGATTCCAGCCTGTATCCAGCTTACCCTGACAACCTTTAAGAAAACCACAGAGTGATGTAATGAGCTCATGCATGGAAAAATAAACAGCTCTAGAGAAACCAGCAGTAGCAGCCACAAGTAAGCATTCTGCAGTCACTAGGGTTTTGAACATGACGTTATTTGAAAGGGAAAATGAGTAATACATTAGCATTAGCAGCTGAAGACAGGTTTGTGTGTGCTTAATTAAAAAAAAAATAAATAAAAAATCCCATAGCTGTTTATTTCAAAATCTTACTTGTTGAATGAGGTCCAACTCCATGTGGCCTATTCTGTTCAGCTCTGGTACCCAAGCATCATGCATGCATCTCATGATAGCTTTCTGGTGATAGAGCTTTCTGCTGTCAGGAGCTCTTAGTGGACAGAGTATGACTGTACATGAGCTTTGAGAACAAGAATGGTGGTAAATTCATATTTCTTTTTGTTAATTTAATTTGTTTGGTGCCCAAACTTTAGGGATTGTCAAAGGGAGAAAGAGCTTGAAAGCTCCATGTCTATATATTCTTTTGCAAGAAGCAGAAGCACACCCTGCCATCCACCCCAGAAGAGGTCTACGTACTCTTGGGTGCAGTTTGTCTCCAGAGATCTGCACAGTGAGGTGGGATGTGATTAGATCAAGAGTACTACCAGGACCTGGCTTCTCTGGTTTGTCTGTGTTCTTTCCCTAAGTTTTACGGCAAGAAACCCCTCAGTTCCTCCTGAGTCAGATAGTCAGGTGAGACCAACCAACATATAACAGGGCAGGGGCAGCTGATTTGCCCTTAAAAAGGAATATGGCAATTTTGGTGTGATACTTTTGCTACTTTTCTACCAAAAATAGCTAAGGTTAGACAAAAGTTTGATTTGTTATTTGGACTTTTCCTTTTTAGTAGTGAAGACTAACCCACAAGGAGCTTGAATACCTGTATTGTTCTCCAGAGTGGGGAGACAGTGTACCCATTTGTGTTAAATGTGTAGTTATTTGGAGTCAGAGCAAATTTAAT